TTTTTTTTCTCTAAAAAATTTTACTCTATTTCTTCAATTTGCAAAACAGATGGTTCTACAAAATCGCTGGTTGTTTGATAGTAGTGCTGAGGTGACAGATAGCATTGTTGTCGTGCAGTACGATATGGTATATAGGAGGGCATAAACTGAGTATTTGAAGGTGGTGGTGGCTGCGATGGTGGTGGCGGTGGTGGAGGATACGGAAATGCGTATGGTGGTGGTGGAGCTGGGAAATATGCCGGATATATTGTCTGTGCTATTGGTGGTTCATGTTCGGCTTTCAGTTTTGGGATGCTTGGTATTTCGGTGATTGCCAGAAACCTTCGTGGGGTGAACATTGTCGTCGATTTGGTACCAATGATGACTGGTATATCAAATGGTTGACATTCATTCACCGATACAGCCAACTGGTATGACGTTTGTATGAGCGAATTTTCTTTGACATAGGTTGGAAAAGCTTCCAGTGGAATCTAAAAATAAATTTTAAGAAAGACAATGAATAATTGCATTTGTAACTTACGGCATTGTTGGGCAATCTTCAATAGAAAAAAAAAGTGCTGATGATGATAATTTTAGATTTCAAGTATCCCAATTAATATTAACGACTGTAGGAAAAACAGTGATAAGTGGTTCTTTTTTCCCCCACTTTATTTTATGTTTTTTATTGTGCAGTTCCTAATTTTTGTTCGCGCAAAAAAAAAAAAGTTTTTTTCACTGAACTAGTTACTGCACTTTTTTTTTGCTTCATTTTTTTGTCACAGTTTTATTGACAGTCCAAGTTGACTACTCTAAAGGCGATAAGATAAACATAGAATTCAAAACCAAGAAAAAAACTCCTATCATTATCTTGTTGAAACTTTATCCTGTGTATTTCACAATGTTTGGTGTATTTTTGTTGGGGATGGGCTGAGACGAGAAAGAAAGAAAGAAAGAGGGTTTGCTTTCTTATATTAACAATTACAAACAGAGAAATAGAAAAAGATTCCTGCTAATAAACTACAAGTTTGGTGAAGAATATAAACTGTATTTGTTCACTAATGAATAGGCAACAAATGAATTGAATATTAACCTGAAAATAGTGTTCAAAAGTGACATGTTTCCTTGGCGGTACCGCTGAAATGGCAAACCGTACCACTGATGCATTACTGCAATAATATCAATTTGAAAATTTTTTTATTTTTTGTTGTTCCATATTCCCGAAGAAAATAAAGTCAACAAAAGAAGAAGGAAAAAAAAGAAAGGATGAAGATGAGTTTTTTGTTGGATAATAATTGTTGTCTCAACTTTTTCTTTTGTTGTTGTTATTGAAGTGGCGTTCCAGTTTACCTCCAAAAGAAAAAAAAATTTAGATACTACTAAAAATGTATCCATTGTGTTTCCTTCCTTTATCTTATTTTTCGTTCATTTTCTTCTTTGGCTTCAACTTTTCAACCATCTTCAAAATACCGACAAACAAAAAAAAATTTTAAATTGTGATGGTAAACGGTAAGGTTCGAAAGAAGAATGGTGACTGACGACAACAACTGTGATGATGATGATGAAGAAGATGACATTTGTCGGCTCACTTCTAAAAACTTTTAATGACCAACACCATTACCTCGGTGTTGACGACAAAATTTCAGTTTAGGTGCTTAAATTTGAGCAGATTCCACTGATGACCACTGTATAGCCTTGACGAACACTACAGTGTCTGCCTGCACCCTCTTCTTTCCTTTATCATTTCTATTCTCTCCTTCCTTCCACCTATCGAGTCTCCTTTGTCCCATATACAGTTACTTTATTTTCTCTGATCTCCTTCTTTGATCGCAACAGTGCTCCACCTCATCTTTACATTTTCAAGAAAAACTATAAATTTTCCACAGTGATGTTATTCAAAATTAATTCATTTGAATAAAATTCTGTAGTAGTCTAAAAAACATAATGCCGGTGCTTACCCTCAAAATTTTTTCACTCTCCTTCTTTTCCGATCCTCCCTTTCTCCTGTTTATTCATTTCTGTTGACTTATTTAGAAAGTGTCTTTTAAGAAATAAAGAAAATTTACAAATTTGTCCTCTACATCATAACCATCTTAACCGTCATTGTACAGCTTTATATTCCGTATTCTCTGCTTCCTCACCTTGCCAGATTTTTCTGAATGTTTCTGACTGCATAAAATTGCAATATATATATGCCTTTTCTTTTATATACAGCTGTCATATTTGACTTTAATAAAGAGGAAAAAAGAAATGAGGAAAGCAGAAGTATTTACAAAGTTTTGTCGACTCGTTTGCAAATGTATCTGATCGACATAATCAGTTCCACTAAACCACCTTTAAGGACATTAGTTGGATGCTCGTTTATTATTTCTCCACTGATTGCCACAGATTCACCTAAACAACATATGGAAAGATTCCTTCTCCTTGTTCTAACAATCAGCTGATTACGACCTTATTCCTTTGTTGGTGATGCCACTAATAATGGTGTTGCCATAATGAGTGTTAAAAAAAAAACTATAGTTTCCATACGCAACTTGACATGCATCTTTTAATTATGACGCCATAATGCAAAAATGTCTTTAACTGTTTGATAAAACAAAGAAAAATAAAATAAAGAGAAGATTAGAAGTATGTAAAAAAAAAAAAAAAAGA